TTCAAATGACTGCCTCTGGGTCTATGTACAGGTTTTTCATGAGCACAATTTCTGGAATACTCATTATTCACAATGTTACCCATAACTCATGATTCACACAGTTGAAAATAAAGTCTCTGCATAGTCAATAAAGGACAAGTAAACATCTTCCTGGTATTGTCTTTCACTCAAGATCCATCTAACATCAGCTATATCCCTAGTTTCACATCCTCTTCTTAATTTAGCTTGATTGTGAAAATCATTGAATATTATTACCACATGCAAGCAAAATTTTTCTGAAGCTAATTGAAAAACAGCTGCAACAGTACATTGACAGAGAACTACCCCTCAACCCAAACCAGATTTAGAAGAAAGCACAGTGGACCCTCTCAAACCTTGGTAAAAGCACTTGTATGTGGGTATCCTGCTAGTGCATTTAATGGGTAGTCCCCAAGTTTAACACCCTCATGTGGAGCCTAGAATTGAAAGATTCTCCAGTGGTCTGGACTGTGGTGATTTTAGTATTATTGGCTCTTGTAGCCCTTGTAAGGCTCACATTGTAGCACATCCAAACCCTATTTGAAACTCAAAGCAAGAATCAGAAGCGTATACTGCAAGAATAATTCCCACTCCCTCCACACATGGAGAGGACAGGGATGGGCAACTTGGACATTGGCTACCCAAAATGGGGGGAGTGGGGCTACAAAGGCAAGAAGTGACTGGCTTACAAGCTTTCAAGAGGGAACCTAGATCCAAAGGGCAAGAAGGAAGGTAGAGTCTCCAGTGAATATTGTCCAGCCTGTCCAGGAAGGGCTGATGAAACGAAATACAGATGGGTCTCTTGTGATACAATGGTGAATAATTGTTATCAGGACTGATTGTGAGGGTTGGAAAACTAAAGGTGGATATTTTGTAGCAAAGAGGGGAGTGATTAACTTTTCAGTCTAGGAGCGGAGAGCGGATTCCTACCCGGAGAAGTGGTGAGGCCTGAGATGGAAGCAGAGAAGACGACTTCAAGTAATGGTGTGGCTGGGAACTCAGGATCAGGAGATGGAAAGGGGCTGAGGACTGTGGGGTGGGGAGGGGTGCAGGCTTACAGGGTACACCCTTTGGTTGGGTGAGGATGCATGGA